TCTAAATTATACTTTGACGATAGTCTATTATTTGATTAGCCTTCACTTTATCGAAGTCTTATTAGCGCACTCCAATATCTTACCCTCACACAACCTGACCTGTCCTTTGTGGTTAACAAACTCAGTCAATTCCTTAAAGCTCCAACAGTAAATCATTGGTAAGCTTGCAAACATATCCTTCGGTATATTCAAGGGACTCTTCATCATGGTTTAACCTTCATCAGAAGTGACACTTTGCAATTGGAAGGCTATACTGATGCTGACTAGGCTGGTAACGTTTCTGATCGCAAATCTACCACCGAATATTGCATCTTCCTTGGTTCCAACTTAGTTCAATGGTGTTCCAAAAAATAATATGTCGTAGATTTGTCTTCCATTGAAGCTGAGTATCGAGCCTTTGCTCAAGCCTCTACTGAAATTGCTTAGCTTCAGAACCTGTTCCAAGAGTTGTGCATCTCTCTTCCTAGAATCCCTGTTCTCTGGGGTGACAACACTAGTGCGGGAGCTCTCGCTTCAAATCCTGTTTTCCACGCCCGCACAAAGCACATTGAAATAGATGTCCATTTTGTTCATGAGATGGTTTGTTCCAAATGACTTGTAGTCCAAAATATTGCCATTGCCTTTCAAGTAGCTAACATCCTGACAAAACCTCTCTCTGGTTCTTGTTTCTACACTCTTCGTGATCAACTTCACTTAGCTTCCTCTGCTCCCTCTTCCTTGTTCTTGCTTGAGGGACGATCAGGTTCAAGGCAAGCTGTAAACTTCAAATTGAGGGACATCAGGAAGATAACAAATGATTTTTTTTTTTTTGAAGAAAACACGTTTGGATTGAACGCTTGGACTTCAGCTTGAGGGACGATGTAAACTGCAGCAAGCTTCAGTTCAAGTAGTTAAAGATTTTGGTTCTCAGATATCAACCCTTTCTGCATTTCTCTCAAACAAACTGCAAGTGGATCAAAGTTAGTTGATGTTCAACTGTTCAACGCCGACTATAACAATACGTTCAACTGTTCAACAATAAGTAAACAATACGTTCAACTATTCAACAATAGGTAATGTTATGAAAGTTGACAAGTTGCCATGCAACTTGTGTCAATGTAAACAAATCCAATGGTTAGAGTAAAAACTCTGTAATATAGAATGAGCAGCTGAGATTTCAGAGAACAGGGACAGCACCTGACTTGCTTTCTCTATAAATTGTAGACATAAAAGACAGATTCTACAGTGAAAAAGAAATAATAAATGCTTCAATACTCATTTTTTTAAAGCTGTTCTCACTCTCTATTTCTGAGTTCTTTACACTCTGTTTTTCTGTCTTAGTATTTTTATATGGTATTAGAGCCCAGGTTTAGTTGAGCTGAGTGTTTGACCAACGGATGAAGAGTTTGAGCCAACAACCACCTCCATTAACAGGCATGACCCAACATATGGGCTTGACCGTGAGAGGGAGTGTTGGAGTCCTACATCGACTAGGCACACTCAAGCCTACTGGTTTATAAGAGAGGATAATCCTCTCATTCAACAAGACCTTATTGGGTGAGGAGCCAGGCCCACCTCAAATTCTATCACTGACTTTTATCTATACCTATCTAATTCGGCACCAACTTTTGTCTTCTGAAATCACTTCCAATTTATCAACAATTATCTACTATTGGTATTGTTTGTTCTAAACCTGTACACTCTTGTCCGACGCATTTACCCATTTCTCTTTTCTGTTTGGTTTCAGCTTGTGAACTCCATTAGGGTGATTGTGCTCATCTTCTTCCTTTATTTGGAATTGGCATGCTCCATTTTGGACGGTTGTTCCCATCCTTTTCACAAAAAAGATGGGCGCATCTATTCTAGTCTTCTTTAGACATCTTCTGAGGGTATATCCCTGATTTTCTATATAATTTCTATTCTTTTATGAAATTTGCCTTTAAAAAAAAAAAAATTCTCTACAATGAATAGAACTATAATTTCTTTTAATTCTTCAGGGCTTATTTCTGAATAATTTTAAATATTGTAGTCCTATATACACATAAAAAGTTGTCTCGTGAGATAAAGACATGGTATCAACTTCAAGTGTGTTGATATTTTTGTCAAACTTATGTTATGGTGACACATTTTGCCAAGTGGCATTTTCTCTTTGATTGTCTTGCCCATCAAGTTTATTTTGATTCATGATATTCTTCTGTGAGCTAACTATACATGTGTCACAATTTCTTTATGTGATCCTAAAAGGTTGTAAGACTTTGTCTGTAGTCCTGCAAGAAAGAGAAAATTTATGTTTTTGGTCCAACAAAAAGTTGGAATTCTTTTTATCCTCCACTTGTTCAACTATACTAGGCTTATGTCTTTTGCATTTTCTTTTCATGTGTGTTCACAATGGATGTTTGCTTACACACTTATGTCAGACATAAGCATGTTGCATTTCATTTTGCATTTTACTTCATGCGTGTGCACACCTTTCTGCTATGCTAACATCGCATGTCTGACTTATTTTTCATAAGTTGCATTTTTATCTTTAACAGCTAAGATATTTTCTTTGCATCTTTTGTGTTATCATTTGGACTACTTACAAGTGTCCCAATATCCTTTAGTGGTCCTAAACTAAATTTCTATTTTTGGACCAACACATGTCAGCCTTTGTCTACTGAACTGGCTAGAATTGGAGTGCTGAATTTGGGTTTATCTTCTCCATTCTTGTGACTTTGTTTGGCTAACCTTTATGTTTGTTTTTGCCTTGTGCTTTGAAACTTTCAGAGAGTTTTTTCCTTAAAGGTTCCCAATATGTTTTTGTGCTAAACACTTATCATCCTTCATCTTTGTTGAGCTAAAAGGAAGTTCATCTTCTTCGTTGTTTGTTTTTCTTTTTGAACCTGAATATCTATTTCATTGGTGCTCTGAACTTTTCAGAGAGTTGTTCTTGGTTAGGTTATTTTATATGGGTTTGTGCTAGAAACTTTATTCTTTATCTTCATTGATGAATGGCGGTTGGAACGTGGTTCCTTTGTTGATGCTGGAGCGTGTCTTCAGTGACTAAAGCTTGGGTGGAGCTCAAGCATTTTCCTAGAGTGAACCTGGTGTGAAGAGATCCGTGGTGCAACAAGACATTAGAGATTCAAAGGGTGGTGTTTAGTGTAACTAGAACAAGAAGTTCTCTTTGCTATAGCTAAAATTAACTTTGAACTATATCTTGTAATGTTTGTTGATTAGTGGATTTGCTTCGATTTGGATGAGATCCAGATGTAGGCTAAAAGTAGATTTAGCCGAACCATATATATGCTGGTGTGCTTTACATTTACAGCTTGTTTTTATTTGTGATTTGTTCTAACTTGACTTGCTTAATCAACTTGGTAAATTTCTTCTACTGCATCTTTAAAATGAGTACCTAAACATTAAATAGAGTTCACAAACTCTAACAAAGTGAATCATATGCAACTTCTAAGAAATATTTTCTATTACTTGTGGAAACAGTTTCATTAATTTTCTCTAAATTTAGACTTCATTGGTTGAGCATTGTGAGACTATTATGATCCAAAAACTAAATAACTAAATTAATAATTATCTCTTCTCTGAGTACTATATCACAAGCAAAAACTCAAAAACTACAGATAATAAGACTAGAAGTTAATAAATTAAGTTATAATAATCATTATTGGGGATTTATTCATCCGAATTTTAACATAAATTTTGAACTGTTAGATTAATGCATTTGAATGGTTGAAATTGCAGTTAAATATGATATTTCCCAAGTGCATTAAATATGTAAGTTGTATTAATTACCAACTGATTTGATTCAATAACTTATAAATTGTGTTATATTTTATGTAAAAAAAGGTGGTGCTCATAAACCTTCCCTTTATTTATCATATTAACGGATTCTTTTTAGTGGATAATGTATCATTATTTACGAAAATAAAGCCATAATTTTTGGGTCAATAAGATTTTTATAAGAAATGATTAAATTAGAAACTAGATGCTCATAATCAATCATGTGAGAGAGAAGAAGCCCTGCGCACACTTGATTTTCTAATTTTCCATAAATATGTAATTGAACCCTTGTGACTCAATTATTTTGTGATTTTGGCTTTTGCTTGTGCTCACTAATTATTTTTTCGAGAGGACAATTTATGCTCCCGCTGATGCTTTACCTAGTTATATGCAACCATTTTACCAATCTGATTCGGCACCAACTTTTGTGTTCTGAAATCAGTTCTGATAATTTATCAGCAATAACAAGTGAAAGATTTGTAAATTGAAAGAAAACGAGAAACAAATTTGACTTCAATTGCTATATTCAATTGAGTAAATGAATCAATGAATTACAATGAGGGTTTTGCAGCTACTTAAGTGAAGACAGTAGCTGAAATGAAGTGATGAGAAAGGGAAAGTGAACTTAGAGAAGAAAGTTCATTCAACTTTAAGAGAGACACAAAACGACTGTGTTTTGTTGTTACTTACCTAAATATCAACTAAGTCCTTATCTTCTGAATTCTGACACTTTAATCCACATGCCCACTCAAATTGAGCTCCCTAGTCCAGATTTCTGAATTCTGATACTTTGATCCACATGCCCACTCGAACATGAATCTCCTTCCATCATGTCTTCACAAACTTCAGCAGGTCATGTCTTCACAAACTTCAGCAGGTCATACCTTTATCAGATTACATTCACCATTTCCATTCTTCATATAATTCAGTCATAAGCCACAAAACTGCAAACTATAAAACTGCAAATAGCAGTCTTCACCAGATTACATTCACCAGCATTCTACTGTTAATTCAGTCCACAAAACTTGTGGATTAAAGTGTCAGATTTCTGAATTCTGATACTTTAATCCACAACAAGAGCATTGTGATGACTCAAAAAACTATATAAAAAAGATCAGAAGTCCATAAATTACATTACATTATCCAAAAGCTAAATAATTACATTATATTATCTCTTCTCCGAGTACTACAACACAAGAAAAAGCTGAAAAGCTACATTACATTATATTTTAATAACGCTAGAAGTCAATAACTTAAGGTTACACTACGTTGCTCCCCGGTTGCAAATTACATCTATACCAGATAATTAAAGACTTGCTAGTAGCTAGGAGAGCTTCCAGGATTTACCACCTTTCATGTTGAATTTCTTTAGCCTTCCAAAGAACATAATTATAGTGAGCATTAATTTTCCTCCGGTACTCCATCTTCCAACAAATCCATACCAAGTATCCTTGCAGGAGCTGTCAGGTTTCAGTTGCCGTTTACAACTGTACCCAGTTGAGAACCCAACATTCCCATATGCACTACACAATAAACATAATTTTCTTTTAGAATTTTTTGCCTAGATTGATAATCAACAAAGAGAAATTAATAATTAATCTGACCTCATAACTTCTAATGTGATGTTTAACACATTGAAGTTGAGGGGGTCGTTCTTAATTTTGTCTCTCTCAGTGATGCAGATTATGATGATTCCCATGACTAAATAGGAAAGTTGTGACAATATCAGACTCTCCACAAAACCCTTCTTTTCATTTTCTTTCGGTTTGCAATTTTCTGAATCCTTTTCTTGATATCTTCTTGGTAAAAATGATGTATAAGGTGGGAGATACCTGCACAGATTGAATGGTTAGATCTCTCCTTATATAAAGAAACACAAGTAAGACTTACATGTTTTGAATAGATCTACTTTTACATACAGTTAACGATCTCATCCCATGTGGTTTGAGAATTGTTGTAAAAAATTTAATTCAAAGATCTCATCCCATATTAAGGGTCAAAAATTTATATAATAAGATCCGTTCCATTGAATATAAAGGTATTATGGAACTAATATTTTTATTATGATATTTACCATAAGCATATCATGTAATAAGCTTATCTTGAAAAGCTTTAACTTGTAATTTTTCAAAATTCTTAGTGTATGCATGTTTAACTAAAAATTCTCAGATATACAGGTTTTCTAGACTATAGGCCAACAGTCAGTTCGATGTCTTTGCTTTTGCAGTTTTGTAAAGTCAATGTTTAGTCGTTGACTTCCGATCTGCAAGTGAAAAACTTCTAAATTTTCGTATAGAGAGCAACTATATGTTGTCATCACTTAATTTACTAGTTTAAACAGTTCTTTTAATATTAAAACAGTTATACTGTGACTTTCCACTGATTATTATGGCATGACCTCATGCCCCATGGGCAGATAGTCACTTAAATTGGATTCGCCACTAATCTAACCATACATAGCTTTTGCCAGAAAGCTTCTAAAATGGTTACAGAGAATCCAGTATGTAGGCAGTGGCGTTGGGTGCGCCCCTAATTATCCAACAACTTGTTCTAAAATGATCTATAGAATCCAAATTATAAAGTTGCTTCACCGCTGACTATATATAAATGCTTCAATACGAACGTTTATAAAGGTAAGTAGAAAATGTTGGTCAAAGGATGAAAATGCAAAAAATTCAAGTAGCAGGAGGAACTTGTAATTCTGCAATACGGTGTCGTTTTTTATTTCAGTAAAGTTAGTTGTACAATGCACTTTACTTAACCACTCTACTCTTCATCCTTGTCTTTGTATAAAAGAGTAAAGTTGCTCCTCACTGTAGCTTGACGAATTGAATCATTACGTAAACAAAAATTAAACGCTTTTCTCTCTGTTTTTCTGTTTTGTTTGCAAACCCTAAGCTAGTTTTACAGAAAAATCGATCGAATTTTTATGATTTTATATTACTATAGGTTCATAAAGTAATTGATAAATATATCTTATTTTTCAGAAAGTATTTAAACACCTTCGAAGACAAAATTTGGTTTGTTTTTCTTTTTCTTTTTTCTCTTTTTGAGAGAATACAAAACTGACAAATTGATCATCCTTTCAGAAACAAATTAATTACTTTATTATCAGTAAAATATCTTTCATGGACAAAAAAAATACGGAAAATATATGATATACATATCAATCATTAAATTTCGAAAATAAAAATATTATACAGAGAGAATAAAGGGAGAGTGAAGAACTTACATCATAACAACAAAGAGCACCAGCACTGCTGAAGAAAGTGTGGAGAGATCAAACACAGATTCGCCGGTGTACCTCGAATTAACCACTTCAAATAATGAACCAACCACTTTCTCGTAGAAATTCAGACCATCCATAGCTTCCGAATTCCATTCCAGGGAACAAAAGAGGACAAACTGCACAAACAAGAACCCAAAAACAGTAGCTCCGAGAAAATAAGAACGAACACTAGAGAACAAATGAGGGTAGCCCATCTCTTTCTGATTCCTCAACATGTACTCAAACTCCGCTCGCCTTGTGATTTTATTCAAAATCCAGATGACAAGTCGCAGGCAAGATGGATACAACGTGTTTCCAAGGAGAGTTTGGGGATTTAGATTTCAACATCACCTTGAATTTAAGTGGGGGAATAGGGGGTACTAACTACGTCACTTCGGGAATGAAGGAGTTTAGGGATTGTGTGAGTGATATTGAAGTTGAGGATCTTAGTCAAGCTAGGATACTGTACATCTAGAATAGAAAGCCGCATAAAGAGAATGAAGTCCTAAAGAAGCTTGATCGGGTAATGGGTAATGCCCACTTTGTTGCCCAGTTTCCCAGAGTTAACATCTTTTTTTTACCCCATGGGATCAGTGACCACAACCCGTCATTAACAACCTTCCCTCTTCTAACTACTTCTAAACCTCAACCCTTTAAATTCTTCAATTATATGGTTTACAAGGAAGATTTTCAGCCTTTGGTGCAGAGGATTTGGGCTTTGGGCATTGAAGGTGTGCCTATTTATAGGGTGGTTAAAAAATTAAAGTTGTTAAAATCCCATTTCAGGATGCTGAACCGAAAGCAGGGTAACCTCAATCATAGAGTGGACGTTTTGAGGAATGAAGTTAAAATGATCCAGCAAGCTCCAGACTTAGATCCTTATAATAGAGAGCTTCGTGACCAAGAGGTGATCTTCTCAAATGCTTTTTGAGTAGCTCTTCTTGATGAAGAACGGTTCCTTAAATAGAGAGCGAAAGTCCACTGGTTTTGCATAAGTGATAAAAACTCAACTTTTGTCCACTAGTTCTTAAGAACACCCAATAATTTGCGAAAAATTGATAGGATCACACAGGGTTTGGGAGAAATTATGGAAGGCCAAGAGATGGTGGAGGAGTTTGTCTCGTTTTTTGAACAACTCCTTGGTACTAATAGCTCGGTTATCTCTTTAGAGAGCATGAATGATATGTTTTCGATTCAAGTGTCTGACTTCCATAAGACTAACATGATACACCCGGTCTCTTCTGAGGAGGTAAGGCAAGCTATGTTTAGCATTGGTGATGATAAAGCTCTAGGCTCGGATGGATACTCAGGCTGAAAGACATATTCTGTTCAACATACCATTCTAGGTCTCTATATATTTAAGTCGTGCAAATCTATGATAAAGTTGTAATATTGTCTAATCTGAATATGAACCAAATATTTTAGCTTTTCCTTTCAAACTATTGGCTGTAGATTCAGCTCCCAAGATCAATTGATAGTTTTTGTGAGTAAGGCTCAGATTAATAATCTTAGTGGGTCTTGTGTGATTGAGTACTGTAAGAATAAATAAATAGGTGAGAGTAGAAAAACTTGAGAAAGATTCAACTTTGTTTGTTGAATTCTTAATTGAGTTCTTAATTGATTTTTATGGTTCTCTGATTTTTTTTAGTTTATATTCTTCACTCTCTTTACAAAGTTAGTACACGTGATGTGTGTTTTAAAACCCTACCTGGCCTAGCTAGTTCAACAAGTTCAATAGGGACTCTGGGCCTTTATCGAGCCGCTTATCAGTTTTAACCGTTCATAGCAAACCCTTGAGAGGAAGATGACAATCAGCGAGCACACGATGGCAGATGTTGGGGGTTTTACAGTGGAAGGGCCAATAAGTCCAAAGGTGGTGATGGAAGTGATTATTGATGAGTGAAACGACCGAAAATAGCAAAATTCACGCAGCCACAATAGTATGCTGTTGTTAGCGATTAGTGAGGCAAATGGGGGTGAGGTGGGGTGAGATGAGTTTTGGTCAGGAGGTTGAGGGGAGTATTTTTGTGTGATGGAGAATGTTGTTGATGCAAAAAACGAGCCCTATTTGGCCTGGGTTGTTAAAGCTAATGATCCGCATGCATTTGGGATGTTTTTGTAGGATTTCAAACCTATAGAGACTTATGTGATTATTAGGGGTGTTTTTGCTGAATTTTAAACTTTTGGATACGTTAACATCACTAGTTTGACCTATCGGTCAAACCAGTTTAACCGGTCAACCTGGGAGTCGATCACTTTGTCAGGTTTCATCCCAAGTCGGGTTTTAAAACCTTGCACATGACATGTCCGAATATGCTGACATAAATTTGACTCAAGTTCACAGATAAAGTAACATGACAAAATATTGACTACAGAACTAGTTTAACACAACGAAATTTAACACAAACTATATAGACCCTCTAATTATTTCTCGAATGTACTTATGTCCGTAAAAAAATAATTGACGTTCAAGTTGATCAGTTCTAATTGTGCTCAATATTATTAATAAATTATGATATATATTTTGACAAAGCTGTAAGTCTTGATTGAGCTTGCTAACGGTAAACTAATCTGGATTTACTTAAAGCTAATCTAAATTGTACTAACATGTATGTATTTCTTTTTCAAGCATTTCACAATTATTAAAAAAAAAAAAATTAAGAAATGTCCTTATTAATTTTTAATGAATACTCCACGTGATAGTTTATATATATATTATTTTGTCTTTTGCAAACAACTGAATAGACGTGTTACACTAGCCAATAAATAACTACATCTTAATTCTTACATAACAACAATAATAGGTAAGTCAGTTTTTAATTTTATATCTTATTAATTTTTGTCTTTCTCATACCATGATACATCTTAACTTTGTTCTTTTTCTCCTCACATTGTATAACGTACACGAACAAAATTTAGTTTTATTTTTATAATGATATCTTTTAATTAGGGGTGAAAGCCGAGTCAAGACCCTCACGCTCGGCTAATTAAATGCTCAACTTGGCTCAATTACAACGTCGAGCTGAGTTCTAACACAATGCTAATCGGCTCGAAAAGCTCGTGAGCTTCAACAAGCTTGAGGGTGCATTTGATAGTTTTGAAACTAAGAGGGAGTCATAAAATTTTATAGTTTTTAAAATTGCAAATCCACCCATATTCAAATTATGTAAAAGTCGAAGTGGATTTGGGGATTAAAAATTAGAAACCCTAAAATATAAAAACTCCCTCCTTCGCCTCCTCCTCGTCTTTGTGTGTAATCCAAGCGCATTCTTCCGATCAGAAAGTGTCTTCGAAATACTCTCTTTCTGCAGACATCTCTTAACCCACGCCATGTATTTGGGGCGCTCTTTTTCAATGCTCAAGCCGGACAAAATCTCATATGTGTGAAAATAACAGTAGTGAGGAACCAAACAAATATCCATGAACCCCAAGGTTTCACCTCCGAAGAATGGCTTTTCTCCAAGCTCATCTTCCAATCTGTTCAGGATTTTAACGAATTCCCTCTTGGCTTCCTCCTGATTTTCATCTCTTGTTCTCCAGGTCTTCCTCCCAGCTTCAAACACCTGCATTTTTTTTTTCCTACTATGTTTATTGAAATCTTTGATGGGAAATACAGTGATGGAGGGAGGATTTTGTTGTTGTGGGACTGGGCCCCAGTCACTGGGGTATCACAAAGAAAAAATTTCAAATATTATTGTTCATGGAAATTTGTTTTTTTTTTTCATTTATTAAATTTTGTTAATAAATATTTAATTTTGAATTTATTTTTCGTGTTTGATAATAATAAAGTGTCATATGTGAGTACAGTTCAGTTTCAGGGAGAATATTGTGTATAAGAGTCTAAGGGATCAGAGTGTCATATGCGAGTAGAATAGGGTCAGGAATAACCTTGCCAATACGCTACGTTTTACTAAAAATGCAGTATATATGTGCTTTGTACTGTAGCTTTCGTCTTTGTAAGCAAAAACAGAAACACCCAGATTACTTGACTGAATCTGTTACTCTCTTAACCACTTTCTCTTCTTCTTTTCTCAAAGATTTTTGCTGCGATTCTTTTCTCTTCAGATAATAATAAAAATTATTTTTAGAATTAAAAATATTAACTAGAGTTGATCCCACTGGAATTTTTGGCAAATTTTAGATGGCAAATCTTTCATTGTCTGCTAGAATTTTTTCTGATTTTTTCAATCAGCTTGAGCTCGAATTAGAACTCGAGCTTGAAAGTTCAATTAACCGAGCTCGAATTCGAGCTCAAGTATCCCTTTAAAGTACCAAGTTCAAGTTTGAACTCAATTCTTCAAGATCGAACTCGAACTCGGTATTGTAGCGTTCGAGCCAAGCTCGAGTAGTCAGATACTTAACTCAACTCAACCCAATTTCACCTCTAGTTAGTTCTAATCATTGATCCCCAAGTTAATCTATTGTTCTTTCTTTGGTTAAAAATTAAAATCCTAATTTCACCACTTATGTGGCAGAGATGTAGTTGGATGCTTAAACAATTCACAACCACATTCAGAACATGGTGAGAGCTAGATAGGGCTATGGACCTCAATAAAATGAAATATTTCATGGTCAATATAAAACTTGTGGAGATTTGGAGATTACCTATGATTATCTTGCAAACCAACATATGACGAACATGGGTTTTCCTAACCCAAAGATTGTTGTAAGGTAGGAATGATGTTATTTATTGTTGTTCTTAGTCTTGTTTAAGTTTTTATGAATCCTATCTCAGAACATGTCCTATGGTAGAATGTCTTTGTCTTTATATTCTTTGGATTGCTCCTCTCCTCTTTGTCCTATCTTTCACGTGCTTAATTTAGACAAACAAGAGGAGATTAAGTTTTTAGTGTATTACGCTTGTGTTTTTGTTCCTTTCCCAAGATCTGTCCTAAGGTAGGATGATCATTTTTTTATGACTTCTTTGTACATTTTTTCTCTCTTTTAATGATACTACTTACTTAAAAAAAAAAAAAAAAAAAGTACTCATAACTCTTTTGATACTTTCCATATGGTTACACCATGTTAATTCTTTTTTTAATACCATGCATATGCATGACAGTCACATAATACTAGATTTTCCTTCTTGGAGGCGAATATCAATACCAAGATTCCCGGTATCGAACAAGATGCTTAAGTAAAATTTTATTCATCCAGTTTAAAATATAATTTTGATTCTCTTTGAGAGATTAGATTAGACTCTCCACTTGATGGTTCACTTCAGATTCTCTTTCAAAGAGCATTTTCATCCAATCTTTCCCAGCCTGAAGCTTCATATTTCTGGGTTGCATCGACCCTGAGTACCAAAAGAGGTGAGTGTTTCAACTTTCAAGCCCAGTTGTTTTCTAGTTTTATGGAGTTCTATTTTCTCAATTATTTTCGGACTGCTGCATGAATGTTTATCAGAAACATAGTGATTAATATTACTTAGCAGTACATAGCTAAGATTTTTCTTGTTTCTATCCTACATAAGAAATTCGGAAGTAGGTTTAACAATATGCTATAGACATGGTTGCTAAGATTTCTCAGTAAAATAAATGAAAAAAGTATCCTAAATGCTGATAATTGATCTTAAACACCCATTTATTTCCAAGTATATGCATATTTGAAGTGTGGCCTGATCGATATTTATCTCCCATAGCGGCATTCCACTACAGATGAGTTAAGGCAGTAGTTATAGAAGTTGATCCAATAAATGATTCAGTAGAGTGAGTTATATATATTTGTTTTGAAAGATAGGGTCTACATTGCATGAAGAAATTTTTTTGTAATCTATTTGGGGGTTATTATCTCTGATTTCTTTAAATTAAAGTTTCATAAGTTATCAGCAAGACTTCCTTAATTATGTTAAGTAATTTTTATTGGAGCTTAATAGCAACACCAAGTTACATGGTAACTTAAAACTGTTACGGCATATTCTTTGAGAAATGAAGATTGGGAATGGGTACTATAGAGGAGAGACAAGTTAGAGGAAAAAGTCTTGGGTGGCATCCAATCATGCAGTGGCAAAATTAGTCTAAATTGTGTTGGAAAGTTTAAATTATAATTGTCACTCCCCCTCCCAGGTATCCTATCTCATCAGATCCAGGCGCTTCGAGGGACTCGGGATCCCAAGAGGAGGGTGAATATTTTTGAAAATGTTTTTCTTAATAATCCCTTTAAACAAAACCTCATAATTAATCTCCATGTAAAATGTTCAATTACCCCTTATATTTTTAAATTTTTTAATCAACCCTCGTACTTTTAAATCTTTAAGTCAACTTGTAAACTTTTAGATTCTTATCAACCCCCCAAAACTCTGAAAACATGATAGTTTCCCCCCTTCAGAATATAGGAGTCTAATTCAAGAGGGGGGACTTTCCCTAAGGCCCAAACCGAAAGAATAAAAAGGGTTTACAAAAGAAACTGGGCCATATTATTAATAGGCCAGCCCACCGAATAGTAAAAATCCAATACCCAATAAAATAACTAGGCCTTATTAATAAGTTAATAGGCCAGCCCACCATATATAATAAATCCAATACCCAAACAATATCTCTGCCCCAAAATTTCCAATGAACAGTGAACACAATACAAAACAAAATTCTAGCAAGTCAATGATAGTAAACTTAAAATTTCCAGCATCATTTCAAATTAAGGGTCAGCGAGTACAAACATAAATATATGTAAATTCCAGCAACACTTTAAATCAAAAGGGGCAGCCGGTTACATGTAACTACAACTCCATATTAAAAAAAAAAAAAAAAAAAAAAAAAAAAATCACATGTATGCCATTTGTACTTCATCACTTAGCCAACAATTTACTTAGTTTCATATTTCCAATATATAATCAACCCTTCCATAGGCTAAATATATCATAAAAACCAATATAGGACAGTAACTAAAGTGTATGAATTAACCCATTCAAGCATGAATTTTGAAAACATGAATTGTTTATGCAATACTAGTCCACTCACGACTTTTTCCCTTGCTTTCAACTCAAGTGCTAGGTCCTCTTGTCTTCTTCACCTATTTGATTCAAAATTGTTATAAGGATTATGATCTAATCAAAGAGAAAATGAAAGATTGATTAAATACAATAATGGATTGAAAATGCATGTCTAACTCTTGTCCTTTACCCCAAAATTTCTCCGAAAATTCTTCTCCTACAAAGCACTTCTCAAATATTGTTTTTCTCTCTTTCAATTTACACAAAAGAAGGTAAGGCAAAAATCCTTCTCCCTCTGTCACCTTTTCCCCTCTCACTCTCTTGGTCTTCTCTTTCTCCACTCTCCCGTTCTTCTTCTTCTTCTCATTTCAAATTAATAGAATCCTTCAACCAACATTGGCAAAACTAGCTACCAACAATTCAGTTTTTTAATCCATCTTGCAGTGGACGATTATCCGTGCATCCCCTAGTTTCTGATTATTACATCTTGCACCCCCAAATCCTTTAATTAAAGTTCTGTTTTATTACAGTCTCACCCCTGGAAAAATTTGCATGTGCCCTTGCATGTCACAATATCATAAGACCCCTTGTCTTTAATCAATTTAAAAATGTCCCTTAAAAGATTTTGACATTTCTAATTGTACTCAAGTCCTCCTACAAAACTATTAACAGTCCTACTAGATCTTATTTCTTACTAAAATGTTCCCAAACAGTTTCAATTCTTACACATTACCCCCCAAATTCACATAAATAAAATCCACATAGAAATATGGGGTATTACAATAATGCTTTGATCCGATTAAATTTTAAAGTTCAACAAACTCCATCGTATGAAAGTCAGATTTATATTTTGTTTAGTTGAAATATGGAGATTCAAACCTATGACATGAGGCTTTAAAACCATGTTCAACAACGGATAGTTTCAGCATTAATTTTATAACAACTGACCTGGAACCTTTAATCTACTCAACATCCGAAATTCACAAACTCAATATGCATTTTCTTTTTCTTTTAAGCTCAACACTTAACAATTTTGATTAAATTTTGTTGTTTTCAATGTATTTTCTATTTAATTAAGCATAAACAATGAACTCGCCTCGTGCCATAAACAAACTCTAAAAAAATTTTACTTTATTTAGAGTCTGTTTATTTTAGGATGAGGATTTTATTTTATAGATAGAACTAGGAGTTGGATGGAAGACTTACCAACAAAGAGTAGTCTTAATTTGAACTTGAAACAAAAATCATCCATCGAGTAAATGGTTGAATATTACATTTATCATACATATGAGCACTTTCTTACGAAAAAATCCAACTTTAGGGCTTTGAATATTTGAAAATTCATAGCTTATTGTGTTTGAATTTAAACTGATAGAACTAATGAATCTAGACATTGCCACAAAAATATCAAAATTTTCTCAAAAATAAACTGATACAAATGAACTATACCCAGAGTTTGATGGAAAATGCAAAAGACCTATACGTCCAGAGAATTTTTATTTTTTTTATCACTTGAAATTGACAAGGATCTTGTTCTTCATTATTTTTTTTCTTTTTGCAAAGAGCTTCAGAGTAGATGGATGCTCATTTTTTGTTTCTGCCGCTGAAACAGCTAAATGATTTTTAGGTCCGAAGAGATCC